CATGGCAGTATGGAATCATGCCACCCTAGGCTGGAGAAATTGACGTTTCCTTCTCGGCTCCACCTCATGGTGGACTCTGTGTAATCCTGCTCTGTGGTGCAGAAAGGAGCTTGTTTCCCTGTGACGGAGGATCCAGATCACATTGGTCAGACCTCTTATTACTCTCTCTGGCTTTTCTCTTCTGTTATTTCAAGTCCAAGCCATCCTTCCAGACTCAGCCCAAATTCCGTTTCCTCTGTGAAGTCCTTGCTGGCTTCTCCACTTGAAAGTGATTTCTTCCCCTTCTGAACTCTTCCTCGTCTGACATTGTTTAAACACCAGGCAGAGGTACCCAGCTAGATCATAAGAAATGTAAAGGCAAGAATAACATCTTGCAGGTTTTGTGTTTTTCCTTAATACCTCTCACTGCACTGTTTGGTAATGGTTTAAAAACGAGTTAGGGTTCTCACCTTATAATCAGTATACACAAGCGTCTTATAATGAGCTCTCACACCTTATTATCCTGGGGCTTGGTTTTCAAGGAGAACCAGGCAGTGAGGTTCTGTCGTGGTAATAATAATAGCCACCATTTATTGTGCACTTACTGCGTTCCTAGCATCAGTTATGTCAACAGCAAAGAAAAAAATGAAAGAGTTGAGGGGAGAGTGTGGCATTTTGACTGGTGAAAAGAAGCAGGAACAAATTAAAAGGAGAGAACCGGGATCTAATTCTAACTAAGGTTTGAAAATGAAAGAAATCTCTTTTCCTAGAAGAGAGAAAAAGGACTTTAAAATGCTAAGTATAATTATATCTATACCACATTATTTCCTTTTGTTTTCCATAAGTGATCATCCTCTACAATATAAGACTGCATACATATATGTATATCAACGTATTTTTTAAAGTTCTGGAGGGACAGACTCCTGCTGATAACTGTGATTTCCTCTAGGGAATGGAGTAACTAACAGACAGCAAAGGAATAAGGAACGAAGTAACTCGGACACTCACAGGAGACCTAATTTGCATGCCCACATCCAGTGTGGCCTGAGGAGGGCAGGAGGCGATAGAGGACTTTCCATTTGTGTATTATTTTTATCTTTGTAAATGCATATTCACGTGTGTATCAGCCAGAGTCTCCGTTAGGAGAAATAAACCACCCCAATTATTTTAACAGTGAGAATTTAACCCAAAGAATTTTTAACTAGGTATTAAAGAAGAAATGGCAGAAAGAGGGCACTGAAGTGTCAGAGAGGCAGGAACTGTGCACAGCAGCATCCACCCGGGCTGGGCACGAAGGGAGCAGGTTGGGGTCACTAAGTTCTAGGAGCTTGGAAGGGAGCTTGGCGGGTGCTGGTGCTCAGACTTTCAGGGGACAGATTCCGATCTCTGACAGGGTGTGCCTGTGGAGGCTGGGAAAACTGCAGACTGGAATTCACTGCCTCTGGAGAAGAGTCAGGGTGAAGGGCCATCGCTGGGCAACCCAGACAGGAACAGGAAGCCGCTAGTTCATCCACTTCCTTCCACCTTTCGGCCTCCCTTTGGCTCTCTCTAAGGGAGTCAAGTGGCCAAGCTTCTTCCTCAGTCCCAGGGGCATGCAAACAGCTTATCGATGAACCTTATTTACAGCTTATTGATTAAGCTGTGCTGCATTCTACCATCCCGGTGGATGAAATAAACAACGCAGCTTTATCGTAATCATAGGAGTCAGAAGTGGCCTCAAAGAAGTTAGAAATGGACCCTGTGCTCCTGTGTAACTAGCTCCCTGGGAGAGGAGCGTTGGTTTGGTGGAGGGTACACGCACAATTGGGAGCCAACTTTTTTACTCTATTTCCGCCTCTGCCACTAAGTAGGCAATAGTATATAAACCACATAATCTCTTTTAAAATAACAATAGTAAGAATTAATTTCTGTATGGCACTCATGTGTCAGGCACTAAGGGTTTTACATATATTAACTAATTTAATTCTTGCAACAGTTCTGTGAAGGAATAGGGACTTCAGCTAATTCACCCAAGGTCACAAAACAGGAAGGGGAAGACCAGAGTAAGAACCCAGAAATCTGACTGTCTCTTCATTACCAAGCCATGCTGCTTCTCAGACATTTACATGAGGCTCATCACATGCCAGGTACCTTTTCACGGCCTTAAAACACAAAAACCCTCTGGGGTAAGGACTGTCACTCCCATTCTGCACATGAGGAAAATGAAGCCTAAAGAGGCTATGACTCTCTGGACTCCGTTTCCTGTCAGGTGAGGAGGTGGGACCAGCTGACATTGAAGGCCGTTTCTGCAAGACACTAGGATCCCACTGCAAAAGAGCCCCAGGTCCTGGCTAAAACGCGACTAGAGAAAGACTCCTCTTCCGTGTGTACAGACCCCTCATCTCATGAGGTCCAGAACAGCAAATCTGGCACACAAGTACAAAAATGGCCCACTCAACCCAAGTCATTACTCCCCCTTTCTACCCGCCTGCTAGAATTAGATGCGAAATACAAGGAAGAGGATCGACAGCTTTAAAAAAAAATTCATTTAAGATAATCTATTTCTTGCCTTTGGTAAGTAGATCTGTGGCCACATCCACATCTGACCATAACCCTCAATATTAAATTATGAAGGGGATAACACACATTTTTTATTACTTTGCTCTTTCCCATTTTTATATCCTGTTTGATTTTTAAATTTTCAGTCTCCCACAAGCCTTTGAGATGGGTTAGTATTTTCACAGCGGAAAGATCCAGAGTCCGGGGAAGCTCGAGGACTAGCCTGAGGACACCCACCTGGTAAGAGCTAAGCTGGATTTGAACTTGTGATGAGTTTTACCCAAAGTGACAGTATCAGGGCTGCTAAGACTAAAACTGATCTTGTCTCAGAAATCCTCTTTTTTAAATAAAAACTCTCCTGTCAGTGTATAACCTTGTAACTCTAGACAAGCCAGGGATAGGGACATTGATAAACTGCCAGCCCCTCAGTCAAGTGACCCGACACCGTTGAATCCTGGTAGCATCACCGTAACAAGTCCCAGGCCAGCACGCACCATGCTACCACCTTCTAGGGTCCACAGGCGTCTAACGTCCCAGGGAACTTCACACCACACTCCGGGGCCTGGTACGAGGAATACAGCAAAACCTCCAAGAGCCTCAGAAATGGAGTGACTTCATAGGGACAGATACCCATTTTCTTAGAAATGTCCCCATGAAAAAATTGCACAGCTGGGCGACAGCACCCCTCTCTGTTCAACAGTCTGGCCAACAGATGACTTCAGCCTGCACTTTTATAGTGCCACTGTGGGCTCATAAAAAAGTTCCTTCTAGCATTTTGGACCCTAATCTGCAGGGAAATAGAGGGTTTGCTGTACTCACAAGGGGCTTGCCTCAGAGAGAGGTCTTTGGTCCTCATCTGAACATCTGTAGAGCCCCCTACAATAGTTTGGATAGGAACAACAGTGAAAGGAGGAGAGCAAAGCTTCCCAGGGGAGGGTCCAGGGTCCACCTAAGTTACTCCAAGAATAGCTCAGCAGAAAGAGGGTGGAGAGCTGCTCCTGTTTCTCCCCTTCCCTCCCGAGACAGCCTAGGAGAAGACAGGCTTCTATGCTCCTCTTTACAATGCACCTACCAGATCTTCTGCCCAGTGTCCACCTCAAACTTGAAAATGAATTGCTTTCATCAATTATCAGTGTTGATAACTCATCGAATCCCGTATTACTGAAAGGACAGTGGAAGGCCTTAGGGGTTTCTTAGAGAGGGGTTCAGATCCCAGGTTCTCCACCAGCTGTGCAAATCTATGCAGGTACTAAGCCTCTTTGAGCCCGAATTTCTTCATGTAACAAATGGGGGTAATAATACCCATCTCGCAGGCTGGGGTTAGTTTCCTGTGGCTGTTGAAACAAAGTCCTGCAAACGAGGTGGCTTAAAATGACAGAAACTCTTTCTCTCCTAGTTCTGGAGGCTGGAAGTCTGAAATCAAAGTATCAGCAGGGCTGGCTTCCCTCTGAGGTTTCTTGGGAAGAATCCGTCCTTGCCTCTTCCAGCTTCTGGTGGCCCCGGGCATTCCCTGGCTCACAGCAGCATCACTTCAATTTCTGCCTCATCATCACATGGCCTTCTCTCTGCGTCTCTGCGTCCTCTCCTTTTTTATAAGGACATCAATCATTAGATTTAGGGCCAATCTTAATTCAGATGATCTCATCTCAACCCTTAACTAATAAATCTGCAAAGACCCTATTTCCAAATAAGGTCAAATTCTGAGGTTCTAGGTGGACATGAATGGGGGGGGGGCACTATCAACCCATGATCGCTGGTTAGGGGGTGGTAAATGAGAAGCGCCTCGTACAATACTTGCACATTACGTGTAGCTCTTTAATAAATAAAGGGGGTGGTTATTGGTTTTGGTTATTATTACTGCTTTGAGGGTCATCGTTGTGTTTCTAGAGAGCGAAGAGAAAGGTTTGATTTGGGAGTGAAAGGGTAGCCCTGAGGAGTAGTAGGGGAACGGGCAGCAGAGAGAAATAGGAGCCTCAGAAAGTAGAGAGAAAGCGCTAAGGTGACAGTCATCGACTGTGCCCCTGGAGGCCAAGCCTGGGATAAGCCATCAGCATTGGCCATGAGCACTCGACTCCTCAGCCTGGCCCAGTCCAGCCATCTCCCCGGAGTGGAGAAAAAAACAGAAGAATCTGGGGAAGGAAACACTCCAAGTGCCTACTTCCTCCTCCCCTTCTCAATAGTTATTTCAGAATGTTTCTTATGTGAGTAGGGAGGGAACTGATCCCGGAAGCTACACTGCCAGGGTGCTGAGGGCTTTTCACTGAAAGCAGCGGAATCTCACTGCTGAGTGTGGAGAAAGACTCCTCTGATTTCAGAAGATTCCTGAGCCCTGGAAGTGAACCAGGCATAACAAAAATGTGAAGTCGAAGGCAGCTGGGAAAGCTAGGCCCCTTCCTGCCCACGGCCAGGAGGACAGGCATCCTGGATGTTCTAGAATTCAGTGAACACAGTCCTGGCATCCTGGATGTTCTAGAATTCAGTGAACACAGTCCTGGATACAGCAAAATTTCATTCTGGTGTTGTAAACTGTGCACTGCCGAGCATCGTAGCTAAGAGTTTTGATATGTGTGGCACCTGTATATATCACTGGAAAAGTTCGGAGGGCAAGAGGTGAGTCATGACTCAAAATGACTATGTATAAAGACCCCCCTCAAGGACCAGCCTCTCCGCCAGGTGTTCTTACCCTTTTCTTGTACCATGAACCCTTTGAACACTTTGGTGAAGCCCATGGGCCTCTTCTCAGAATAGGGTTTTCGGGGCCGGCCCCATGGCTGAATGGTTAAGTTCACGTGCTCCGCTTCGGTGACCCAGGGTTTCACGGTTCAAATCCTGGACGCGGACATGGCACCGCTCATCAGGCCACACTGAGGCGGTGTCCCACGTGCCACAACTAGAAGGACTCACAACTAAAAATACACAGCTATGTACTGGGGGGGGGGAATTTGGGAGAAAAAGGAAAAATAAAATCTTGTTTTCTAAAAAAAAAGAATAAGTTTTTAAATTAAGCAAAATACGTAAGATTGCAAACCAAACTAATGGTATCCAAAGACAGTTATTAAAATACCGACAACAAAAACAACAAATTTGTGATAAGGTCTCTATGTGCTTCTTATTAATGTATCAAATAACAAGATCTACAGCAGGTCCTCCAGCTGCTGCAACTTTGATGTCCTGAGGGACATAAATGGTATTTCAAGATCTCTGCAGCCGCTGTAGCGGGATCTACAAATACCCGTGATTGGTTGTACACATTCATAATTAAAGAAAATCCTAAAGTTCAGCTGAGGTGAGTGAAAAGAAACACGTAGTTTTTTTCCCTGTCCAAGTTCACAGAATTCTATCTGTAGAGATCGGTGGCCTCCAAATTTAGAACCCCTGTTCTCAGGGAACTTTTCAAAGGTACCCAGTTTCTGGTGGGGCTCTCCCCGCCAGCCTGACATCACAACTCAATTATGTTAGCAAAGGAGGCCCCCTGCTGGCAGAGAGGCTCATGTTAGTCACCCAAAAACTCATTTAATTGGCCATGTTAGAAAACAATAGCTCAGGCAATTAATTCACTGACTCACATCGAGAAATGGAGCGGGAGGCTGCTTGTCAGCCAGGCCCCCAGGCATCTAATCAGCACAGATTTAAAAGCCCCATTTGACTTAATGGGAAAGTGCTGATGGTTTGTGCTGCTGGTCATTAGCCGAGGAGGAGGAGAAGCCAGCATGGCAGGCTGTTTCTGGGGGACTGCTTTCCCCTCCTGGTCAGCACCAACAGACCCTGCAGATTGCCTAAAGATTAGGTTTCCCAACAGGTTTGTCTGACCCGGGTCTTTATGACCTGCTTTCAATGCTTGGAGCTTGGAGCCAAGGGAAATGAAGGAGAGACGAATTCAGGACTCACTATGCGCCAGAAACCAGGCTGAGTATTTTCACATAAGCTATTGCAATCAATTCCTAAAGCAACCCTGCGTGGAAATTTATTATGATTATTAATATTGTTGTTATTATTCACAGAGGTAACTGAGGCTTGGAGAGGAAAGCTGTCACTTGCCCATGTTCACTCCGAATGCATGACTGCGTGGGCTGGGGGATGAGACCTTCTGATGTCCAGTCTCGGCCACCAGAGGCAGGACCGTGAGAGGCCACAGCTTTGTCCACTCCTGTTAGCACAGACTTCTGGAGCCTGTTATCCAGTTTGAATTCTCGGCTTCACCACTTACTAACGGTAAGAACTTAGACAAGTTTATCAATCACTCTGTGCCTCAGTTTCCCTATCTGTAAAATGTGGATAACTAGTGCCTGTTGTAAGGGTTGTTGTAACGATTAAATGTAAAACCCGCAGAAAAGTGCCCAGTACCCGTAGGCGTTCAGCAGCTCACAGCTGTTGTGACTGTCTGAGTTGCCTTGCGAACGTCCAAGCGGCAACAAGACAGCCAGCAGCCGAATCCAGTGCTCCTCCACTGCAGGCCAGCTTCTTCCCCAGGGACATTTGGCAACGTCTGAAGACATTTTTGGTCGCCACAAGTAGAAGGCATCGAATGGGTAGAGGCCAGAGATGTTGTTAAACATCCTCAGTGCACAGGACAGCTCCCCACACGCGGAGTTACGTGGCCCCGCATGTCGAGAGTGCCGAGGTTGAGAGACTCTGCCCTACGCTGAACACCAGTGAGGCAGACTCTTTTGCCAGATATGATGAGGCGCTAGGCTGACCCTGGAAGCCGCCACCCTGATGGAGGCAGGCCAGACAATAAGAAGTAAATAAACAAGAAACTATTAGACGACAGTCTATGCTGTGATAAAAACGAAACAGGGTGGCAGATAGAGAGGGGTGGGGTCAGGCTGCTTTAGACTGGATGAGCAGAAAGTCTTCTTAGAGGAGATGGCATTAAACTGGAACCGAATAATGAGAAGTGACCAGCCATTGAAGAGCTGAGCAAAGAGCAGAGTTGATGAAGGGGCAGTTCCTGCAAATGCCCAGAGGGGGACGACCTTGCTGTGACTGAGGCACAGAGAGCAGGGCAGGTAGAGAGTGGTGGTAAGGATGGAGACAGGGAGTCAAATAAAGCTCGAGGCCCGCCCCACAGAAGGGCTCCCTCTGGACGCTGCTGCTTCGTAGTGCCCTCCAAGGAAAAAAACACTGCCTCAGAGGACTTGACGGGAACTAAAACATGTGATTTCATGGGTGGTAGAAATTTTAAGTTGGTTTTAAAGTTGTTGTTTCTTTTTTCCTTTAGGAAGCAATGATAAGTCTCTTTCCTAGCAATGGTTTAGTTAACAGCTCAATTATTGGATTTGGTTGCTTTCCGTTCGGGATAAACCACATCGTGTCTTCCTGTTCTCTGGGGCATGGGGGCTTATTCAAATGCAGTACAGACCCAAGGAAGCTAGAAAGGAGGGAGACCAGAACACAGGTCCATTTTGCTCCCTTGCAGCTTCTCAGCTGCCCTGAGTAGGATGCAGTGTTGCAAGGTACATGCTGAGAATCTTCAAACCCGGGCTAGGGATGGGGAGAAGGCAGGCCCGGTGTCCTGCTGACCCTGTACAGCTTTGCCCATAGGTAACCTGTACTCGAAACGCCGGAGGCTAAGCAAAGGATCATAAAAGGAACCTATCATCTGATTCTTCCGCTGTTCCTGGTGATTTCTTTACATGAAGGCAAAAAGTAACACAGGATGGTTTGCTACTTCTCACATCAAACTGAGCCGGAGCTGTAATTTACTAAGCAAACCAATGCAGGAAATTTTGCTAGAGTGTCCAATAGACTGACTGGTTTATAAAATGGGAGGAGGGGGCAGGCAGAGGAGGCTTCTATTTCTGAAGATGAGGATGAACTGTATCCAGACTGCAACAGGCAGGAATGTGTGCATGTGTTGTAAACAACAGGAAATGGGCCCTGCGCGTCTGGACATCTGACTTGGAGCATCCTTAAACAGCTCTGGAATCAAAGTCTTCTCTGGGGGCTCATTACATTTCGGTTTTAAAAGTTAGCTGGCAATGTTTAGGACTATTTCCAGACCCCAGTTAGAAAGTGACTGGACTCTCTAAAATCTCGCTCTGAGGTAGTGAAGCTGGCAAAGCAAGCCTGCCGTCTGTTTCCCAGAGTCTGTGCTCATTCGTGACTCAAGCAGCCAAATTAGGGCAAAGTGCTAGTGGCCTTCTCGTTTTCCTTAGTCTTAGGACCACCAGGTTTTTAGGGGGATGATAAAATTTACCCAGCTAAAAGGCTATATTTATATTTCCCAGACCCACCAAAATTGTGTGTGGCCATATGACAAATTCCTAGCCAGTGAAATTAAGTGGAAGTATTTTGTGTGACCCTGAGAAAGTATCTTAATAGACAGCTGATGTAAACACTTTGCTCACTCTTTCCTTTCCCACATTCTGCTGCCTAGAATATGGATAGGGTGGCTGGAGCTCTACCAGCCATTTTGTACTATGAGGGCCAGAGTCGCACTCTAAGGAAGGCAGTGGTGACTAGAAGGAGCCTGGACCCCCAGGTTCTTTGTGGAGCCGGCATATCAATCCAAAGTATCCTATCTCTGCACTTCTGTTATGTGTAAGAGAAATAAACTACTTCTATATTATCTAAGTCATGATTTTTAAAGTTTTTGTTTTATGCAGTCGGAACTAATCCTAAATGATACACCAATGTTTGCATAATCTTCCCACATTGTGAGATTGAATGACCAAGAGTAAGTACTCCCATAAAGTCTTATTTGATCTAAGTTTCTTAAAATTATTTTGAAACAACAAACAATTTATAATAAGATTGACACTGTATTAGGTCTTAGCTGACCAATTTTGATTTCATACGGTGCCTCCATTCATCGAAGGGGTTTTTTAATGCACATTGGCAGATCTCATCAAACGAAGAGAACGAAATTCAGGTGCTCTATGTGCTTTTTCATTTAAAACTTAAAAGACATCTGCAATCATTGGTGCACATAAATAGAGACCCTGATCTTCAGGCTCCTTTAGCAGAATAGTCAATAATTCTCAGCTAATAGAACATTGCAAAAAGTTCCGGGAAGTCCCTCTCTCTTCCTAGGCTTCTGATTTCTCTGATACGATAGTATGCGCTGACTGGCTCTCCAGCAGCCATTCCTAGCGTTCAAACTAGAGAAACAGTTACTTGCTGCATGTGGTAATCATTGCTGCTGCTCACCAAGTGCTTCTCACTCTCCGTCTTCCAGACACCTGATGGAATTGTACTTCCTGGATCTTTTTGGTTCAGTAGCGCTCTGTTCTGGCCAATGGATTGTGTCACTTCCAAGTTCAGCGTCTAACATTCATGTGAGACCCAGCAGAGTTGTATTTTTTCATTTGCCATAGTATTGAGCAGTGTATCAAGTAGTGTATCATAGCAGTGGCTGCCCATCAGCTGTGTCTGGGAGGGAGGGAGATGCCACCACAGAGCAGAGTCCCCAGGTGTCTCCCACTGGACATGCGGTGTGAACAAGAAATATCCCTATTTTGCTTCAATCCCCTGAGATTTGGAGACTGCTTGTTACTGCAGCATAATCTCTGTCATCCTGACTGACACACACCATTCGGAAAAGCCTCCTGAGGATGGGGTAATCACGCAGGGCCTCAATGAGACAGTCTCTGGTTCCAGTAACCAGGAAGAGCTGTGGGTGAAAGTTCCCTCTGATTTGACACATACACTTAACCCCTTCAACGTCAATAAATTCTGCTCATAAACTTTTTTGTTGAGCAGTTTCCCATAACATATCTATCTACAAAAATCTGTCAGTAAGCGAAGCAATCCTCATTCCTCAGTGACTTCAGACTCATCAAACTTAACGGCGGATCCCGGCATTTAGATTCCATGTACAACGAGCTCCACCGTGTGGTGTTTAGAATGAATGACTATAAAAGCAAGGTCACATACCCAATACCACCGCACACCCCTTGAGAGAGGGACTGTGCCTGATAAAAGAAGTCACATCCCGCTCGCTTGGGCATCAAATCAAAAACAAGACAGAAAATGTTCCTGTCCTGTGAGCCAGGAAGCAGTAGAGAGGCTGGCTTGTTTATTTCTTCATTCAACTAATAATTATCAGGCCCTACTACGTACCAGATACCATTCCAGGCTCTGGGGATTTCACAGTGAACAGGACAGACAAAGTTCCTGCCTGAGCTGGAAAGACAGACGACAGAACAAGACAAAGTCATATATGCTATAGTGTCAGATGTGAGAAGTTACATAACCCAAAATAAATCTGGGATAGGGCATAGAGGGCGACGGAGGAGGGATTATTTTAAATAAAGTTGACAAAAGTAAAGGCAAACAGTCCACGTTTAGCCCTCCCAACGTCCCTTTAGATAAATGATCCAAATCTCAACTATATGTAAATATGAACATTCTCTTGCAGACTTAAAATGTTAAAATGCTTCAAGATGCCCAAATCTTGGTTTCTAAACATCGCTCTGTCTCAGTCCGTTCAGGCTGCTATGACCAAAATACCAGAGACTGGGTGGTTTAAACAACAAACGTTGATTCCTCACAGTTCTGGAGGCTAGGAAGTCCAAGATCAAGTGCCAGCAGATTCGGTGTCTGGTGAGGGCCCCTTCCTGGTTCTTAGATGGCCATCTTCTCACTGTGTCCTCACATGGCAGAAAGAGCAAGGGTGCTCTCTGGGGTCTCTTTCATGAGGCCACTAATCCTCCTCATGAAGGCTCCACCCTCGTGACTTAATCCCTCCCAAAGGCCTCACCTCCTAATGCCATTACATTGGGTGTTAGGATTTTAACATGAATTTGGGAGGGACACAAATATTCAGCCTATAGCCGCTGCCTGAAAACAAACCACGACTCTTTAGAGAAACCACTGATTTTTCAGGTCTGAGTCAGGAAAGGGACAAGAAGATCCTGGGACATACTGTTATGCCAGAAAATGCAGACGCATTCAAAGACTAATAACAGGGTTGTGCTAGTCTTTAACCTGCCACAGAAAACAGGTTATAGGGCTTCCAACTGCCAAATGGGGGGCTGCTTAAGTATCATGAAGAGTAATAACTCTAACCGATATTACATTGATGATTAAAATTCATGAGTTTGTGGTGATATGTTTTTAAAAAAGGGAAAGAGGCTCTGTTTTATAGAATGCCAATAGAAGATATTATAGAATCAGAGAATCATGGAATACCGATTCATGCAAGGATCATCTTGAATGTTAATTTCCTGTTGCTGATGTAACAAATTACTACAAACTTAGTGTCTTAA